CTTTTGTGAAATGAAGTTTTTGTGGCATGATTGGTGCTTTAATAGCGCTTTCGTGTTCTCAATTAAAATTGTAGCTTGATTATTTTGATAGTTATTACTTTATGATACTTTGCTCTGTATGGTTGTTTTGCTTTTATAAAAGAAACTTCTATATATATTATAATTATTAATAATAAATTATAATATATTATCTTATAAGTTTTCGGTTAATATCATAATTACAATGTATTTAAAGAAAAAAAATCGCATTTATCTTATTGTGTTCATAAATAAGATGCATTTATAACATCGGTGTGTATATCTAGGTCATAGTCTATCTCTCCGAAATATGTGTTTACCTGGTCGTGGTTAGTCTCATTAGCGTCCGGCAATCCAGCCGGGCGCGAAGCCAAAATACGCACTGGGAGACGGTAGGTTCTATGTATGCAAGTGTAATGTGTAATAAATTTCCCATCGTTAAAGTCAGTTCTCTGTGTGTAAATGAGTAACAAACATATGTAGATGATACACACACACACGCAGACGCACACACACACACACGCATACATCCTAACTCAGACAATTATAATAGTCCGATTATTGACTTACACAAAATTCTCACTATTTCACACATACATATGTACATACATAAATATCCTATAAATGATGTTCTCCTAGCCGATTCCGGCTACGGCGGCCAATCTCATTGAGATTAGCCAACTGCGCAGGAGATATTATAGTGCTCAAGTGTACGCGCAGACACAAGTGCACTCTCTATTCCTATCACTCTCATACTCCGGTGAGACGACCACTCGACACGACCGGTGAGAGTAAGGCGCAAAACCGACGGCTTTACGTGCTCTCCGAGGCACGGGGGTGAAACACCGCCAACTTCCCAACTCCGGGCTGCTACTGAGACTTACTATACAGAAAGACTCAATAACTAAACTTGGCCCGACCCGGGACTCGAACCCAGGCCCTCCGGGTGTGCATCCTTACATGCTAGCAACTACACCACCGAGGCAGTTGAATCCTCCTCCTCATCGAGGCATCCTATAAATACATAAAATACGGATAACAAGGATAGCTGTTCAAGGGTATATCGCCACTGGACATTGAAGACGTCACAGGGGGCAGTTGAATGACGTGATTCACTTTGCTGAGATTATCTATCTATCAATTTTAGTTACTCCACGGGAAGGCTAATAAGAATCTATGACAAACTTTTTCTGTTGTATTTTAGCATGTTAGATTTTTCTCCATGGTTTCATCAGAACTTATGGGTTTTTTTACTACAGTTACACCTCTTTCTTTAACCTCTTTAACATCCTGATTGGTTGAAATTTATTTTTTTTCAATTTTTTTTAATAATTAATTCTACATTGCGCGGGCAATGCTAATTACATATGTGTAACTAGCATTGCCCGCGGCTCCGCCCGCGTTCAGATGATCAAAAACCTAATTCTTAGGTTTTACATATTAGTATATTCGTATGCAGTGCAGTTTTTGTGTTTTTGTATTTTTTCTCAGAAATGAGATATTTTCCCACGGTAAAAAGTAGCCTATATGTTGACCCGGATAACCAGCTATCATCATACCAAATTTCATCAAAATCTGTCCAGTGGTTTTCTCGTGATGCGGTAACAGACAGACAGACAGACAGACAGACAGAAAGACAGACAGACTGACAGACAGACAAAAATTCTAAAAACTATAGATTCGGACTCTGTATCGATAATAATGTCTACTTTAATGAGATTTTCCAAAAAAATATTTAATATACAGGTTCGGCTTAGAATTTTATGATACGAGTATGTATGAATTATTTGTTTCAATATCGTTAAGTTCCAGAACGAAATACTTACTTACAAAAATGATCCATCAGTTTGCATGTGTAAAGCATAAGTTATAAATAATCAAACAAACAAACATACATTTTTATATTATAGTATATACATATATAGATAAACCACTCATAAAAGATCTAAAGAATAAACAACATATCGGTAAAGTGAATCAAACCATTTGAGACCCCCCACAGTACCGGGCGCCGGGAGTCCACCCTTGAACTTATTGCCTTTATTGTGACTGTCCCGTACGTAAGTATCTAACTTACGTTCAAATGAAAATGTATGGCGAAAGAGTTTGCTGCTGAGTATTTTGTTTTATATATATTTTTATATTAATACTTTTTATACTGGGGAAAAGAAACCTTTCTGAATGGGATAGAAGTTCAAGTAGGTAATGTTGAAAGTACTCTAAGGTAGATGAAATTAGATAGATATTTGCATGAATTTAGTTGTTGTTAGTGTAAGTTTTAAATCAATATCTTAAGAATAATATATATGTACTAGCAGACGCCGCGGCTACAACCGCGTTTAATCTACAAAAAAACCTTTTGACTTTATGTCATACCTACAGCTACTCACCCTCGGTTCGCTCGGGTTCGCCGCTATGTATTTATATACTCTTGTTCATACAAAATTGAAGGTGGAGGTGGTGAGGGTAGGAGGTCGAAAAATACTTAACGACTTATTCTCATACGCACCAAATATACAAAAAAAATCATTAAAATCGGTCGAGCCGTTTCGGAGAAGTGCTACCACAAACACCGTGACGGGAGATATTGATACAAAAATATCGATTATTGTTTGTATACCTATAATAAGTATGTATTCATCTATTGGAAAATGACCAGCGCCATCTCTTAGCAAATTATATTACTAGCAGGAGCCCAACTGTGAACTAATATTATAAACAGGCAGAGTTTGTTTGTATCAACGTGCTAATCTCAGGAACTACAAGTCCGATTTGAAAAATTCGTTTTGCATGGATAGCCCGTTTATTGAGGAAGGCTATAGGCTATATATTATCATGTTACTACACTAGGGAGCGGAACAGTAATATAATATATCTATTCCATACTAACCGTTAAAACTTACCTAAGGACGAACCCAAACGAAAAGCCGCTAGTTATATATAATTTCAATTATAACATGGCATCTAATACAAATTCCAATATACATTTTCAACCCTTAAGAGAAATTAAAGAGGGCTCTGGTGCCATTTTGTTTTATAAATAAATGATTATGTTTACGTAACTGATACCTCATTTAAATGTCTTAAAACCCCCATTTCATGTTTTGCTAACAAATTTATAGAAGTTAATACGATACTATAATTAAGCTCCTCAAAGGAGTTTGAGTAATTAAAGGTTGCATTTTGCTTGGATTTAGAAGGCGGCACAGACATAATACAAATGGTATTACATATGGACATCTGCAAAGAACAATGTTGTAACTAAATATACGAGTATGTATAGTTTTGAACTTATGAGATATTAATTTTTATTTTTAAATTGTCTTAATACTGAGCTACAATATTATTGTTTGCAGGTATTGAATTATATGGTTGCTTCACTTTTAAATCTTATATCTAGCGATGTAGTGTAATTTTCTGTCTATAATCCAGAGGTCGTGGGTTTGAATTCCGCTCTGAGCATTATTTTTAATAGCCAACCATGTGTATTAGAAATATATGTCCTTATTCCTTCCGAAACTAAACCTTAAAAATGATCTAATGAGTAGTGATTTGAATAAAATATGTGAATAAAATGGCATAATTAAGTAAGTTGTACAAGCAGTCGTAAGTCTGCATCTAGCTTGAGAAAAACACGGATAAGATTACCTCAGTTAATCAGGTTTCTATTAAAATTCAGTCTTACCGTCTCAAGTTTTACAGTGGAATTCGTAATCCTTATTTTATTTGAAATCTTATACAGAGCCAGCGACTCTTTACATCTCAGAAATAAGAAAAAGAGTGTAATACTATATATATAAATAAACAAATAATACATGTATTTTTTTATATTTGTGCAAGAAAGCTTATAGCTAGGCAGTGGTAGCCCAGTGGTAACGCGCTCGCTTGGGAAACCGAGTGAAGTGGGTTCAAATCCCGCATCTCGCACCTCTGATATTTTGATGTGCGAATCATTTCCAACATTAGCACTTGTCTTAAGGGTGAAGGAAAACATCGTGAAGAAACCTGTATGTCTGAGAGAACCTAATAAGTTTTCAAAAGACATGTGAAGTCCGCCAACCCGCACTTGGCCAGCGTGGTGGACTATGGCCTGATCCCCCTCGTACTAAAGGGAGGCCCGTGCCCAGCAGTGGGAGTTAAAAAAAGGGCTAAATACATATATATACATATGTACATACATACATACATGCATGCATACATAATACAAACTACTAACAACTTATTCTTGCTTCGCTTCGCTCAGGTTCGTCCTTAGGTACCTAACAGTAGCCTATGTGTAATCCAGTAATGTGTGTGCCTATCCAGGTTAATATCTAAGAAAATCTACGATATACTCGTATGAAATTAAATCGTTTATTCTACTAATGCTACAAATGCGAAATTATATTTGTTTGTTTATCTGTTCTTCTACGCAATAACAAGCAATAAAACCATTGTACCATTCATGTACACTACTTCCTTCTAATATTATAAATGTGAAAGTGTTTGTTTGTTTCTTTGTTTGTTTGTTTGTTTGTCCTTCTTTTACATCGAAACAGAGTGACGGATTGGCGTGATTTTGTGTTTGGAGATAGTTAGAGGGCTGGAGAGTGATATAGGCTACTTTTTATTATCTCATTACCGCGGGAAAACGCCCTATATAATATTTAGTCTATCTGTTCTATACTACTAACCGTTAAAATGTATCTAGGGAGTCGGGATGAACCCGAGCGACGCGAGGGTGAGCCGCTAGTACTTTATGTGGCACAAAAAGTATCATAAGAATGCAATATATATATCCAAAAGTATTGTTGGAGTTTTATATCTTATTAACATATTTTCTAAATAATATAATAACAAACCTTCACGAAAATTAGTTTTTTTATTAATTTTCAAATGAATTTCTTGTAATTCTATAAACGAATAATTAGTTACTTATGAAGAAAATTGTAGCAAATTTTATATGAAAAACTGAAAATAGATTTCTTTGTGTAATTCTTAGAATGATTTCTAATAAAGTTCAGTAAGTCCAAGCAGTAATTGCAAGATATTCCGCCTTCCAGCGCTTAGTAAACAACTTACAAAGGATTTAGACTACGACGTTTTGCATTTGTTGGATAAAATGAGAACTTCTTAGTAAAGGTTAAAACTATTTAAATTAGCTTTACTTGAAAATTTTCTAAAGCAATGTTTTTATGTAGAATTTTGTTTACAAAATGTTTTTATTTTTGTTATATACACAATTAAAGAGCTCAGTAGAAAACGTTATCTGATATATTAATGGTCTCTTTCGTGTTTAGCTTATTTGTTGAATAAGCAAGTACCAGAAAAGTATGACTGTGATTTTTTTTTAAAGTTTATATCTTTCAAATTATCTATTTTAGTATATTACTAATAATGCCATCCCGACCGATGTCGGCTACGGCGGCCAATCTCATTGAGACTCGCTATATGAGCAGGAGATATTATAGTGCAAATAGTGTACGCGCAGACACAAGTGTACTCTCTTTTCCTGCCACTCACATACTTCGGTGACCAGTGAGAGTTAAGGCGCAGGAACATAGGGTCGGATATATATATATATATATATATATATACATACATGTGCTTCGCCGCATCGGGTAAATAGCTAACGATTTTTATAATAATAAATACAACGTCTGAACTAGTTAATACTATTTTTTTTCAAGGGGACAAATAAAAATAAAACTATGTAGTAAGTATTATTTTTACTGTCCATATTTTATCCTTAAAAACTATTTCAGTTACCTATGTTACTACTACTAATAAATATATAAAAAATCCTTTATTCTTTAAAAAAAACTACCTGTATTGCAAGATCGAGAATAGCATAAGCAGCAAATTACGCTACTATTTTTGACTTTGACATTTATTTTGGCGTACTCCGTCTTTTAGTCTGAGCTATAGTAATGATAAATAAATTTACCAAATATATTTAAAAAATAATCCCTAATAATAAAAACATACCCCCTGCAGCAGACCGCCAACCCGCACTTAGCCAGCGTGGTGGACTGTGGCCTGATCCCCCTCGTATTGAAGGGAGGACCGTGCCCAGCGGTGGGACGTTAAAAAGGGCTGAATAAATACATACATACATACCTGCAGAGTTTGTAAAAAAAATCTCTTTTTTATAACTCGTTAAATTATAACATTTTATAATAAAATAATTTTTAAATAGAAATGTGTTATAAAATATACATATTATATGTATATTGCACGTAATTGAGTTCAGTTTCTAAGAACATTGAGCTCAGTAGCGTGACTGAGTTGCGATTTTCATAAAAATGTTAATCATTTTTATTGCCTTTTTTGGTAGTGGAGGGTGGGATTATTTATTTAGGGAGATGAGGGTGTGCTTAAGAAGATAGAATGTAATTTGAATCTTAATACTTTTCCATTATTTATTCTAAGTAGAATTGTCATGGTAATGAAGTGATTTTTTCCCATTGAAATTTCTATACTCAATTTCTATTTATAGAGTGCAAATGGTGTTGGCTTTCCGCTGTTTATTTGCATTTGTGATTCGGAATTGATCTTTGTATTTTTAGGTAGTATGAGGTCGTATTCTCTCGTATCTCTAAAGTTATAGGTACAAGTGTACGAGTATAATATATAATATAATGATGTATAGATAATATAAAAATATTTTCATCTATCATTTTTTTATTTTTGGGTTTAAAATTATTTTTCAACTGTACGAAATTGTATAAGTGTATTATAAATGCACGCGGCTCGTTTAATTAACTTATGTAGTATTTAGTTATGTAGTATTATTCTCTTTCTAAGCTTCGTAGCGTGTTTTTTGATAGCATGACGTTTTTTCAACATCGAAAAATGCTTTTATGCATATCACATGTACAGCAGTTATGTGTAGAAACCAGCTAAAATTCATTACCAAACACTAAAATTAAAAAAAAAACCGAACCTCAGCCATATCACACATTCACAGTATCACTTATTCAATTCTCAATCACGGTGCCCAAACAGCTGGTGTACCGGCACTGACCACAACCACAATATATAGGGGACTACTTTTATGGCCCACTTTAGTATCAGAGAAGTATTCACATATTTATTTTTAAATAAAACTATCTTTTCGGATTTTTGGCAGAATTATTTTGATTTTTGGCTCCCGACGTTTCGAATGCTTTACAGCAATCATGGTTCACATAATTGTTCTATGTGTAATTTAATTTTTTAAATCACACATAGAACAATTATGTGGCTTAAATAATTAATATTATATTTTATATTTTTTCTTTATGGTTATAAATATAATAATGGCAACACTAAATATAGATAACTAATTCATATTTTTTAAATTATAATAATTATAATGATAACAGCAAAAATTAAATAAATAATATTCCATGTTCAATTATATAACTGATTAAAATTATAAAAATGTTTAAAGTTATAAAATATTGTAAGGTACTTGGTACAATTTTTCATTTTGTTATTTGTGGGTAGGCTGTCTGTAACAACTATACCTTCGAGACATCTAACACCTCAGTCTCTCCCGTGCCCATGATTGCTGTAAAGCATTCGAAACGTCGGGAATCAAAAATAAAAATTAATCCGCGAAATAATCCGAAAAAATAGTTTTATTTAAAATGTCAAATATTCGCGTAAATCTAAGAAAGTATTAGTTTAATTGACGTATATACCGCGCGAGTAGATCCGCGGGAAAACGTAGTAGTACTCCATTTCCTTCCAATACAAGTGCTTTAACACAGTCCATCTGGATGTTTCGCATCACGTTCCACAAACACCGCCACATCTAAACGGTCGCGGCAAATAAATATTTCAATATAGTATTCTATTTGGTTCTAAGTAAACCATCTCGGCCACTTTAATACTTTCAGTGGCGATGTACGTTTGTGCATGCATTTGTGTATAGCTTTTATTGTGGGCTAGACTAGCCGGCGCCTTCGATTTTCATTGCATTTCAATGAGTTTAATGTAATGAAAAAATATAAAACTTAGCTTTTATTTACAAGATATTTAGTTATTTTGTTTACAGTTTTGACGGTTTATATATTTTAATTTTTGCAAGAGTTGTAAGAAAATTATACCTGTTGCGTTCCAACAGATATTCTAAGGTATTATTATAATATTTAGATAATTCAGGCCTTTTATACGTAATCTTTCTAGGCATGTGATTCACCGTAATGCGAGAGGGATTATCAATGGTGATCATGGTATGGTAGATTTTACACGCCTTTTGAAAATTCGTTAAATTCTCTTAGATATGTAGGTTTTTGTAAGAGGTTTACTGCATCGTTTTAGCAAGTTTTCAATTAATTTTGGAATTGAGATTCACACATGAAATCAAATTCATCCTAATTACATAATATTAGTATATATATATTACGTAGTATCCTCGTAAATTTATTTATTTAATAAAAAAAATTAAGCCAAATTCCAAAGACTCTAATTTATTATATATTATATGACTTTATAAACAACTAAAAACAATGGGCGCATCTAACCTTTACGCGCGGTTGAGGAAAAATTCTTTCGCAAATTTAGCAATTAAATTAAAACAAATCAATATATCATTAATTAAGGCATATTAGGCATGCTACAATCAATCACAAATATATTTATAGAATATCGTATACGGAAATAATATAATATTATATATCATATGTTATACAAATAACAACGGTTACCATGACAACAATAAATCATGTATTCTATCTCATTCTCTCGCTAACTTAATCCTATATATTTATGTTTTTGTCTTTTTCTCGTGTTGCATTTTCGTTTCATCGAGTTTCAAATCACAACGATTCCAAAGAAGTTTCACTTAAAAAATATAAAAATTTATAAAACGATTTTCGATATTTAAAGTAAGAAAGTCTATTTCAATATTTCTATTTGACATACCATTGTATCTGCGCTGTTACAAATCGAATGTGACATTATACAAAGATTCGAGGATTCAGAGCTTATCGCGAGATCGACCGGTCTGATGCGAGCGCGATGTACTTTGTAGCGCTCGTAGAGTTTACTCGTGCAATATATTTTCGACGAGATATAAGTTAAAAATAAATCTAGTTATTATATCTTGAGATACTTAAGCTTACATTCATTTTATTACGAAAAATTTGTACGTCGGTGGTCTGTACGTGCTGTACACAAGCGGGATACATTCATATTTATATATGTATATAAAAATTGATGTCTGTATGTACATAAGTTCCTTATAGACTCCAAAACGGCTGGAGCGATTTCGATGAAATCAATCTTCAGGTCAGCTCAGCGGGTGATATTGTGAAGTTTGGTAGCGATTGGATCAACAGAAAAATTTATAGTTAAAAGTTTGAACGCGGGCGAAGCCGCGGGAAATGGTAGTGTTATATGCTTATTACGTGTGGTTTCTTATATCGCATTTTATCTAAATAATAAGGAATAAAGAAATCTATATTAATAAACTGTTCCTTTCATACTTACTTTCCTAAATTATATTGTTTTATGTATCTTCAAAATATGTTTATATCCAGGTTTAAATAGATACTGATTATGTCTAACCTAGATATATGCAGATATTGTATATATGAAGCTTTTCTAACGTCTCACTGCTTAGTACGGGCTTCCCTTTAATACGAGGGGGATAAGGCAATGGTCCACTACGTTGGCCAAGTGGGGATGTAGGACTTTCGATAGCGTTGCGACCAAGTAATCAAGTAATATGTGGTAATCATGTTGAAAATGATTCGCACATGAGAATATTAGAGATGCGAGACCGGGATTTGAAGCCGCTCACTAATTTTTTTAAGCGAACGCGTTACCACTAGGCTTCCACGGCCTTTACATAGGTACTCAGAACATAAATATGTATAAAAATAATTATTCTAACCAATCACTTTCTTTACAGTTGTAGAAACTGGGGATGAGCCCGCAGCATGCAGCAGTCGACGTACTCTGGTTCTCGCCAATCATCAGAGCACAGCAGACGTCCCAATGCTGATGGCAGCATGGAATCCAAGACCTGGAGTACTATCGAACCTGATGTGGATCATGGATAGAGTCTTTAAGTTCACAAACTTCGGCATCGTCAGCGTTTTGCACAAGGACTTCTTTATACAAGCGGTGAGTAAACATTTAAAGTTTTTTATATGGGACTTCTATTAGGCATTGACGCAAAAGTATTTTTGTTTGTTACTTTAAATTCAATCGAAGAGATACTTACACTGCTCAATGATATGAGGTCATGTAGAAAAATGATAAATAATTAAAATATACATAATAAGTACATAAACAAGTTATATATGTAGATGAACAGTGTATGTTGCTTCAAACTGTATAGAGAATTGGTTCACGTAATAAAATTACATAGTTACAATTACGGATGCGAGTTACGTACAACTAAATATGGGGAATGAATATAATTGTACCATTTATAAGTACGGAGATAAAGTTAAAATCTATATATATATATATATATATATATATATATATATATATAATATTTAGTTGAGACTAGTGACTCATCCTGTTCTCGCCAACCTTTTTTTTTTTTTAACGTTGGGAAATGCATTTACGCACGAAGTGTGGGACTCACCGGCGAAGCCAGTACTACCCACTAAAACCCAACAAAACCTTCCCCCGTCTTAATGGGGCGTCGCAGGATCGCTTACGCATTCAACTACGATGCCCCGACGGCAGGTCTGCCGAAGCAGACCACAACAACCATGGGGTTGCTCCACGGTCCACTCTGCTATCAGAGAAGTACCAGGAGCAACCCGCATGGTACACCACCCTCCGAAGAAGGCCGCCTCCCACCGCCCACCGAAGCGGGCCACCTCCCTGTGCGTTTCTTGGCTTCGCGAGTACACTACTGAGCCCCCCCACCACGACAAGGTGAACGCACGTTGGGGGGGTGTTCTCGCCAACCTACTCCAATCTACCAAAACCACAGTTTTACGCATTTTTAATTAATTTAGGTACTCTTGTTATTACGTAAATTCGATATATGTATACAATAAAGTATTTTTTCTCAGTAATTAAGGTATATTATCACGATGAAAAAACATCATGTTTCCAAATCTTGTTGTTAATGTTGAGAAACGCATTTACGCACACCACCTGTATACATATAGGTGAATGTAATGAATTACTAGGAAGAGAAGCCAGTACTATTCACTAAAACCCAACATTACCCCCTCCATCTTATTAAGGTTAGGTTAGGGCCGTCGGGGCGTCACAGGGTTGATTACGCACTCAACCACCAAGATACAACCAAGGCGTTGTTCCCATGGTCTACTCTGCTATTAGAGAAGAATCTGGAGGAACCCATGAGCATGGCAAACCGCCCTCCGAGGTGGACCGCCTCCCAGTACGTTTCAGCCCTCCAGCTGTCCTCCAGGCCTAAAAGTGTTACAATATAACAATCACATCAATCCATAGCTATCTTACGACGTGAAAGCAGGATAAACAAACAAACATTTTTACAGTTCTAGTATAGTAAATAAATATATAATAATACTAGCGACACATCCCGATTCGCTTCGGGTTTGTCCCTATATATAGTATAAAAATAAGTCTATCCCACGGAAATCGTACATTTGCCGGGATAAAATTAAACCTATGGGCTATTCCAGACTATTATCTATCTCTGTACTAAATTTCATCCAGATCCGTTTATCCGTTCTGGCGTGAAAGAGTAACAAACAAACATCCATCCATCCTTGCAAAGTTTCACATTTATAATATTAGTATGGATTCTTTTTACCTAATTGATTTAATTATACAATATTATTTCTGTCTTTACTATTTAAACAGAAAATTAAGTATCTTTATTAAATCTAGTCCAGTAAAACTACCGTTCATTTTAAATGGGAATTTCACTGAGTGCCTGTTAGTTCGTAGTTAATGTTTTAAGCACATTTGCATTTGTAGTTACTAAATTAAGTGATCAGGCGTTTTATTCGCTTAGTACTTTGCTTTATTCTATCTAATTGGTTTAAATTGTATTAATATAGTTTAAGACAGTTGAAGCCTAGTGGTAACGCGCTCGTTTGAGAATCCGAGTGAAGCGGGTTCAAATCTTGGGTTTCTCACCTTTCATATTTTCGTGCGAATCATTTCTAACATGATTACTATTTGTGAAAACATCGTGAGGAAACCTGCATGTTTAAGAGAACCTAGCAAGTTTTCGTAAGACATGTGAAACCTGCCATCCCTCACCTGGCCAATGTGGTGGACTACCATCAGATTCGTTGGTATTAAAGGGAGGCCCGTGACCAGCGGTGGGACGTTAAAAAAGAGATGAACACAGAAAATATAGTTCAACTAGTGATTATCCTCGATTTATCCTCTTGGGTGAATTCTGTCTATTGCGACTTGATACAAAAGCGTTGATTTTTGTTTAAATTGTATTCATCTCTTGGTAAATGATCAGCGCCATTTTTGGTAAACTTTATTAGTAATAGTAACCTATGTATTCAGGATCAAGATTTAAAACCGGTTTTCCTTGGCGGAATGCCATGTTGTACTAACCCACTATTAATGTAGCCAAGTTAGTGAAACGGTTTTACTTTCATACTGTGTCTTGACTAAATGATATCAAGTACACGTAGAGACTACGCCTTTAGTGAAGTTTTTTCGGCTTAGTAAAAATCTGTGCTGATTTTAAGATATACTTACAATAATAAGCTATTAGAACTAGTATCAAATAAATACAAAAAATTCTTGCAGACGGGCGTTATTGGCTACAACACAATTTTTAAGTAATTTGGTCTTTGTCGTTCAATATATAATGTAACTTCTCAGTTTGTTCCAATAAACATTTTTATTTTTATAACAGTAATTAGATTTTAATTAGTAGATTATAAATAAACTAAAAACATTTTAATCAAATTAAAAAAACTGTTTTTATTTGTTTGAAACGAACTACCAGAGTAAAGCGAGAATGAGTCGCTAGTTTTATATATTATTGATACAAAAGTGTATTTATTTATTTTTCTGACCTTACTTAACCCAGTAATAGAACAAGTTATCGATGTATTTTTTTTAATAGTTTATGTGCTGAAAGGCTAAAGCTATGTTTTATCACATTAAATTAAGGGTTCCCCAAGATTATGTCTGGTACAAAGAAATATTTTGGTTAAAGTAGTTAGTTTTAAAAAAGAAAGCAAGTGAAGCTGTTTCAAATCCCGGGTTTCGCACCACAGATATTTTCATGTGTGAATCATTTCCAACATGATTACCACTTGTCTTAGGGTGAAGGAAAACATCGTGATGAAAACTGCTTGTCTGAGAGAACCTAGCAAGTTTTCGAAAGATATGTGAAGTCTGCCAACCCGCACTTGGCCAGCGTGGTGGACTATGGCCTGATCCTCCCGTATTGAAGGGAGGCCCGTGCCCAGCAGTGGGACAAAAAAGGGCTGAATACAAGATAGATTTTTATACAATTTCAATTATTTTAAAGCTAAAGTACTAAATATATGATAACGAGCAAATGAATGTCGAAACCCTATTATTTACATCGCTAATGAATTACCACGGTCAGTTACGCTTCAAGCTTAATAAAAATAATTTGTTAAATTAACGGTTGTATTCTGATACTGCGTGCGAATAAAATAAATATATTGGGACATCAACACACAGCACCATCTCGTTCCGTGGTAAGCTACTATATAGTTGATACACTACACATATACAACTTTAAATACATACATATTATAAATATAAACACCCATGACTGGAGTACAAACATTCGTACTCATCACACAAATAAATGCCCCCAGCGGGACTCGAACCCGCGTCCGCTGGCACAGCAAGTGCCTTGACTACAAACTGAGCAAGTATTAGAGCCAGATTGCCATAGATAGGTCACAACGTAAAAAAATATATTTTGGATCTGGATAATAGCGTTACCTTTCGGGTCTAACTATAGATAACTAAACTAAGAACTATCCAGGTGATCTAACAAAAAAATTAAAGTCAGTCATGTCGCTTAGAAAAGAAGAATTACGAACACACGCACACCGGAATTTTATATATAAATATATAATTCACAGAATAAGGCTTCAAAGTGATTGATGAAGTGAGAAACAGCCATGTGACGCAACAGCTATAATAAACCAATGTTGTTTCGCGGCCAGCGAAAGCGAGACGAAGGATCTTATTAGACAACTATTATGTATAGTTACGACCACTTGTAATTATATGTACGGCTATTTGGTTCATTTATAGTAGGTGTCTCTACGTTGGAGATCGTGGGTTCGAGTTTCTTGATAGTTTGAATAATCGACGATTATTTAAAATAATTCTGTAAAAAAAACAACAACAACACATATACTTCGATTTTCTAAATAAACTCAAAACTAATTTCAAACGCGGACTCTGAAAGTGTCCTTCTGCGAGGAGAAATGTAGCTAAGACAGAAACATATTTGTACCTTAGTTCGATTATATAAGATTTATCTATTCAGGTTATTGTGTATTAAACGGTTAACTGTTAATATGGAATAGATAGACTATATATTCCAGGTCATAATTATATATAAAAACTAGGTATGATGAGTTTTATATCCCTTACTTGAGAAATGATTGATTCTCCATACAAATGTTCACCCCCCTCTTCACCCTGTTAAGGGATGATTTCCGGGATAAAAACTATTCTGTGTTCTTTCTAGGGTCTTAAACTATCTTCGTACGAAATTTCATCTAAATCGGTCCAGCGGATTTTTAGTTTATCCATTACAAACAAACATACAATACTTTATAATATTAATATAGATAAAAACACGCTTTCATACATGAAACTCGTCAAAATAAATCACATGAACCCGAATTCTAGTTAGGAGAAATTGAAAAGTTCTACTAATTCACCAAATGAACTCAGTGGTATTATAAATTGTTTCAAAATTTTACATGCGAACAAAGTTTCAATGCGACAAATACAAGTAGGTTAAAATCGACTTCCAAGATTTGATTACATAGCTCTTGTTACTGTATGATAAAATCTTGGAAGTTTTGAAGCTTTCCTTTCTTAGGAAAGCAGTATTTATTACTAAAAAACAACGAAAAACAAAAACAAATCTTTCCTACATTTTTCCGGTATAAATAATTGTCTATGTGTTATTCTGATGTATGAGCTATATTATTGTAAAGTTTCATCAAAAT